GTTGTTCTGCGAGTTGATCACATGAGGGTGATCACCTCCAGTTTGTGGATTCTCTTTGTTCCACCGCATCTCACTTCAGTGCTGGGGGAGCCAGCCCCCCCATCCCTAGGAAAAGCCCTAGCTCCACTCCCTAAAGCAATAGCTCTTCCAGGATTCACCCCTCAGCAATTTCCCCGCAGGAGACGTTTTCCCATTCTGAGTGTTCTGTAGGATGGAGATGATAAGCCCTGCACCTTCTCCGTGGGATTGGTGTCACTCCCTCCCTCTGATGGCTCCTTTTCCTCCATACACCATTTGTGGTGAGGGGTTGGGATGGTGTGTGACCTCCCACTCTCTGATGGGTTTGATTTTGTTTTTAGAAGACAGGAAGCTCTTTGTGGGCATGCTGGGGAAGCAGCAGAGTGAGGACGACGTCCGCCGCCTCTTTGAGCCCTTCGGCCAGATTGAGGAATGCACCATCCTCCGAGGGCCTGATGGAGCCAGCAAAGGTGGGCTTTGGGGCACTGGGGGGGGCACCCTATGGACCTGCAATGGCCAAATCCAACCTGTCCCATTTTCCCTCTGTTCCCTTAGGTTGTGCCTTTGTGAAATACGGCAGCCATGCCGAGGCACAGGCTGCCATCAACAGCCTGCACGGCAGCCAAACTATGCCGGTAAGTGCCAGGCTCTCACCCTGCCCAGGCTGACCCCACGCTGCCTGCTTAATCCAATCACCCACTTATTTGATCCTCAGTCTAATTGCATCAAAATCCTACAGACTGGCAATTTGTTGGCCACATCACCCCAGGTTCCTCCTTGCCAGGGTGCTGAGCCCTAGAGATGGGATTGTGGGGCTAATTCTCTCTATGCCAGAGAAAGGGCCAGTTTAATTAACGCTGAAGGTCAGAATTGTGGACAAGGAAGCAGAAAGGAAGCAGAGGTCAGGGAGCTGCCACTGGGGAGAAAAACTGGCTATAATTAAACCTCACGTCGATCATTGGTTGCTGCTGCCAAGCTGGGCAGCATCCCCAGGGCTGAGGATGCTGCGGAAGCTGCGAGCCACGCCCAGGGTGGGTGCACAGTTTGGGGCGTTGCTCTGGTCCCACCATCAGCCCCATCTTCCCCCCCACCTCAGGGCGCCTCGTCCAGCCTGGTGGTGAAGTTTGCAGACACAGATAAAGAGAGGACCCTGCGGCGGATGCATCAGATGGCGGGGCAGCTGGGCATCTTCAACCCCATGACCATCCAGTTCGGCGCCTACGGGGCCTACACGCAAGCGGTAGGAGCTTAGCCAGAGTGCAGGCCAGGGGCTTTGGGGGACTCCTGTGGGTGGGGTGTTGTTTTGGCCCTTGAAAGCACCAGTGCCAGGGTGTGTGGATGCCTGGGAGGGCTGGTGTATCCCTGTTTAAGGGCAGCTGCAGGGCTTTCTCCCCACAGCTGAGGGTGGTTGTAGGGTTCAGTGGTCCCATATTTAGCATCACCAAGACCAAGACTCCTGTCCCCGGGTGCGGTAGCGGGTGGCATTTATCCCTCAGAATCCATCCAAAGCAGAGATGCTGATTTACCCTCCCCTCTCTCTCCTTCTGTCTGCCTCCTGTGCTCTGTCCCCTTTCCCCTTCTTTACCGAAGATCATGCAGCAGCAGGCAGCCCTGATGGCAGCTGCGCAGGGCACCTGCCTCAACCCCATGGCTGCCATCGCTGCCGCCCAGATGCAACAAATGGCCGCCTTCAATGTCAGCGGGCTGGTGGCTGCCCCCCTCACTCCCTCTTCAGGTAGGACCCCCACGTTTGCCACTTGACATCCTCGAGGGGCACTCTTGTGATGCCAGCCCTGACGCCATGCTTGTACCTACCTGCAGGTACAAGCACCCCTCCGGGGATCAGCACGGCGCCGGTGCCCAGCATTGCCACGCCCATTGGGGTGAACGGCTTCAGCCCACTGCCGCCCCAGACCAACGGGCAGCCTGCCTCAGAGACCATCTACACCAATGGCATCCACCCCTACCCAGGTACAGCCCTCCTGGGGCTCCACCACAGCCCCCGGGGCTAGGGGAGTGTGCTCAGCTCATGCAGGATGCTCAGGGGGTGTCCCCATCCCAGGAACACGCTGGATGAACCTCTGTGTGCTCCCGCGGCATCACTGCAGGGAGGAGGGAACTCAGGCAGGGAGCAGCTCTGCCCCTCCGTGGCGGTGCTTGATCATGAGCCCTTTCCCCTGGGAGCTGTGCACGCATCCCTGGCTTTCTCTGGCTTATTCTATCTTCCTTCTCCTTTCTCTTCTCTTCCCAGCTCAAAGCCCCACGGTGGCAGACCCCCTCCAGCAGGCCTACGCCGGCATGCAGCACTATGCAGGTCTCAAACTTCGCTTCCCACTCCCTCCCTCTCTCCCCTCTTTGCTCCTCACCCTTATTTTTGGGAGGTGAACATGACCCTGGGGTTGAACGTTGGACTGGGGGCAGTGTATTTGGGCATGTATTCATGAGGGGAGCAGCAGGTGCTGAGCCCTGGCAGGAGCTCCAGGCTGGCAATGCCAATGAAAGCACCGTTCCCTCATCCCACTGGCTCCTCTTATGGCCCCCCGTGCAAATTTTGGATAGTGAAAAGTGAATTTTAATACCAATGGGGCTGAGAGAACTCCATGGGGGAGCCCTGGCAGTGGTATGGAAAAGAGGGGGCAAGATCTGGGAGGTGACAGAGGGCCACCTCCACACCAAGACACCAAATGTCTTTGGATGTTCATCACGTGGCCAAGTCTAATGGCCATGGAAGGAAAGGAGTCAGAGCCTCCCATGGAAATATGTCAAGCCCAGCAGACATTTAAATAGGAGCATTGACAGCAACGGCCAGATTTGCAACAGCAAATCAAGTTTTGGACCCCAAATCTTTGGGAATTTTCAGCAAAAAGTACCATCTTTTCTCAGCCTTGAGGCTGTATTACTACTATCACAATCATTTCTCCTGGGAGAGCTGTTCCCACATTTCTGGTGTGTCAGGAAGGGTGGGAAAGGCAGACCCAGCAGCTGTGGGGCAGGAGAGGCCCCTCGATCACAGGTGGCAGCAGGGGACCTGGCTGTCCCAGCCCTCTCCATGGCTGGGTCGGGTGCCGTGGCCTCAGCTTCTTTTTTCTCTCTTCCAGCAGCATATCCCACTGCCTACGCTCCCATCAGCCAAGCCTTTCCCCAGCAAGCGCCCCTCATCCCGCAGCAGCAGAGAGAAGGTGAGGGGTGGGGGTCACCCCACATGGGGCCGGTGGCTCCTCGGTGTCCCCCGGGGTGACCCCACCTCGTAGCTGACATGTCCTGTCCTTTGTGTGTCACCCAGGTCCCGAGGGCTGTAACCTGTTTATTTATCACCTGCCCCAGGAGTTCGGGGACGCGGAGCTCACGCAGATGTTTTTGCCTTTCGGCAACGTCATCTCTGCCAAAGTCTTTGTGGACCGTGCCACCAACCAGAGTAAATGCTTTGGTAAGTCCTAGGGTGTGGCTCTCCCTGGTGTCCCAGCTCAGGGCTCCAGTTTTTCCCAGTCCCCAGCTCAAGGTTCCAGCTATCCTTAACATCACAGCTTGGAGCTCTGGCTCTTCCTCAACATCCCATCTCAGGGGTCTGGCTCTCTTCAGCATCCTGTTTTAAATATCTGATGCTCCTTGACATCCCAGCTCTTAGCAGTCTCCAGCTCCAGAGTTCCAGTCCTTCTGGTCTCCAGCCTGAAGATCCACTCTCCTAATATTCCAATATTCTGCTTCAGGGGGTCTGTCTCTCCCCGCGTCCCAGCTAAGGGTTTGGCTCTCCCCAGTCTTCCCAGCTCGGGAGTCTGGCTCTTCTGGACAACCCAGTGCAGAGCATCTCCATCTCAGGCATCCAGTTCTCCCTGAAGCCCCTGCTTGAGAGTCTGTCTCTCCAACATCTCCTCTTGGGGATCTCTCTTTCCCTAGTCTCCAGCTCAGATGTCCATGTCTTCCTGCTGTCCCTTGCTTGGGGTCCAACTCTCCCCTAAGTTCCCAGCTCAGGGATCTGTATCTCCCTCTCATAGATAGACCTGTGTCCCCATAGACTCTTTCACTATGGTGTGACCCTATCACCTCAGGGTCTCTGCAGACCTGACCTGCAGATGTCCCCTGAGCCCAGACATCCCATTCTGGTGTCCCACAAACCCCATCACCCTGGTATCTCCACATACCAGCAGACCTTAGTGTCCCCACAGACCCCATCACCTCAGTCTCCCTGCAACCCCTCACTTCAACAAACTCTGTTACCCAGTGACCCCACAAATCCCATCGTGTAGTGTCCCTGCAGATGACTCCAGTGTCTGTGGACCCTCTCATGCTGTTGTCCTCACAGCCTTGTCAGCTCAGTGTCCCTGCAGACCTCGGTGTCCCTGCAGGTGCCTTCACCTGTCACCCAATCCCCTGCAACCTGGGGCTGTGATGTTACCCAAGGACCCCCTCTCCCAGCACTTGCAAACCAGGAGCATCCCACAGGATTTCAGTGCCTGGGTTGAGGCGAGGCAGCCGCCTGTGATGTGTGTGGTGACAAGCTCCTGTGTCCCCTCCCCGCCAGGTTTCGTCAGTTTTGACAATCCGACGAGCGCTCAGGCGGCCATTCAGGCCATGAATGGCTTCCAGATCGGCATGAAGAGGCTAAAAGTGCAGCTAAAGCGGCCAAAAGACGCCAACAGACCCTACTGACCCCAGCTCAGCCTGTGGAGAGGTGAGGGTGCCTGGCCCTGGGGGACGTGGTGGTCTTGGAGCATCCCCCTGTTCCCGTGTTTCCATCCCGAGTGTGTGCAGGGATCTCTGCCTGGCACCACCCACTCAATGGATCTGGGTTCCTCCCTCCATCCCCCAGAAACAGGCTGACAGCCTTTTCCTTCTGTTTCAGGTCGGACATCCCGCAGTGTCTGACGACTTTCCCCTTCCCCAAGTGCAGTATCCAAACCCGTAACTCTCTTTCTTTGCAACACATCCCGGAGGAGGAAAAGGAGGAGGAGGAGGTGAAGGAGAAAATGGCAAAGAAGAGAGCGTTTTGGTCGTAGCTTTTCCTTTTTGAATTTTTTCCCAAACTGGTCTTGTTTGTTGTTTAACGGGAATGAGAAGAAGAGAAGGAAGGAGGGGAGCGATGCGGCGCCGGGGCTGCGATTGGCCGCCGGCCGCTCGCCGGGACTCACCGGATCCCTCACTGGGAGCAAGGCTGATGGCTCCGGGCAGCCGGGCCACGATCTACCTTTGTTTTTTGGGTTTTTTTTAAAGCACTCATTTGCTGCTACCGATTTCCCAGGAGAAACGAGGAAAAGAGGCTCCAAATGGATTCTTAAACCAAAGCCGGTGGGACGGGACCAGCCTCGGGCGCTTCACCTGGAGGATGTTTGTTTGGATGATAAAGAATAACGGCAAGATTTTCCTTTTTCCCTGCATTGGGGAAAAAAAAAAGAAGGATCAAAGTATGTTGGACTTATAGAAGATATATATAAATAAGTATATATATATATATATCCCATGGAGCAGGGTGGCGGGACATGCGCTTCCCCTGCTTGTCACTGGCACAGGGACATAGGATTACTTGTTTCAGAGTCATATCATTCCTTAGAGTTTAGGGACCAAAGGACTATTGCTTTTTTTAAATATATCTATAAATAAATTAATTTAAAAAAAAACAAACAAAACAAAACACACAAAAAAACTTTGGGAAAGGAGGAGAAAATCCAACAAAAATTAAGAAGGTTGAGTAAAACCCTCGGGCATTCAGAGCCACGAGTGTTTCCTACAGGGCTCGGATTTGGGGGGTTCAAGGGCTTGGTTTTGGGGGCCAGTTTGTGGCTGGGGATTGGGGGGGATGCAGAGGGGATTTGATGGGGGGACTGCAGTGGCTCCCCCAGCTCCATGGCCCAGGGGGAGTTGGAGCTCCTTGGTCACCTCTGGCAGGGGGTGGAGTGATGTGGTTCTTTGCATTTTGGGTTGGTTTGGGGGGATTTTTGGGTTGGGGTTTTTTTTTTCAGCCAAAAAAACTTAAAAAAAAGAGGAGAAAAATGTGAGGTTTCGGCCAAAATTAAGTGAAGCGAAATAAACTTATTTTGTCAAAATCGTCACCTTCGTTGGTTCTTTGGAGCAATCGCTGCCGCGTCCACCACCCAAACACAACACCCAGGCCCCCGTTATGGCCAGCTCAGCTCCATCTGGGCTGGAGCATCCAACACAATTTGGTGAAGCTGGGAGAGCACCACAGGCCTCTCTTGTTATTTGCTTTTTCACAGGAATTGCTGGTTTTGGAGGAATTCACCCTGGCTGCAGAGGGAATCAGGACAGGACACAGCCCTGTTGTTTCACTGATCTTTCCAAGGGACGGAGGAGCTTCAGAGAGATGTGGCCATGTCCCATGGAATGTCCCTTTGCATTTGTGGGTACAGCTAAGTGACTGTCATGATCCCAGGAAAGTGACTTATTTTTTATTTGAGGAAAGGAAAAAAACCCAAACCCTACAAATTTAAGCAACCCCCCCACCAAGGGTTAGGTGGCGGGCCAGGGGCGAGGGAATGACCTGCCCAGGTTTGGGTGGCCCTTGGATACATGGAGCAGCCAGTGTGGGACAAATGGGGATAGACGGTTTTGGGATCCAGCATGGACAGAAGACAAGGACATGCCAGAAGTGACACTGAGTGCACCCACTGGTGTAATGAACCTGTCAGGACTCAGGTGGTGACTGTACCAAAACCAGGATAATTCTTACATCGGTTCTTAAGTTCCATCGTAAATCCTGACTGAAATCGTGGCCTTGCGCTGCTGAGGCTGACCAGGAGAGCCCCTGGACTGTGGGGACCAGCAGTGCCCAGCCCCCTCTGCCCACCCTGAGCCCTGGCAGCCTCTGGGCTATCTCTGCTGGGTTTCCATCCAGGTTTGGGTGTAGCAGGATGCAGCTGTGTCCATGGAGTTACTGGGATGGGCTTGGGCTGAAACAAAATGCTATTCCTGGGAAGTTCCTTCCCATTTGAATCTCTGCTGCAGCACTGATGCCAGGGGGGCTGCTCCGTGGGATCCCATGTTCCCATCCCTAAGGCACAATCCCTTTTCTCTTGTGTTGTGCCTCCACAGCACCATCTATCCTACTCCACAGGGGGAGTAGTTCCCTCCCAGCCCTATCCCAAAACTGCATCAATTCTCTATGGCACTTTCCCACCATCCCGTCCCATCCTGTCCCCTCAATCCCATCCCTTCCCCAAGATACCATTCCTTGTTTCCTGCTCCTTCTCCACAATCCTATCCTTTTCTCATTATTCCATCCCTTACCTGTGCCCCCATCCCTTCTCCAGGTTCTAATCCCTTCCCTGTGCCCCTATTCCTCCCTCACTCTCCCACCCTTCCCTTGAATCCCACTCCTTTGCCATGAGCCCATCCCATCCCTTTCCTGTGCCACTTTCCTTTCCTCACAGTCCCATTCCATCCCTGTACCCCCATGCCTTCTCCAGCATCCACTTCCCATACCCCACACTTAAATGCCAAGTTCAATCCACAAACACTGATTCCTTTTCTCTTTTTTTTTTGCCTATGTTTTTGGGTTTGTTTTAGTTGTTTTTTGTTTTTTTTTTTTTTGCTTCAGTTTCTCATATCATTGATAAAAACGCCATCGCTGCCAACGCCAGGAGGGGCCGTCCCCAGCCACGCCAGACCCACGGCTCCTTCTCCAGGCTGCCACAGAGTTAGGGACAGTGGGAAGGGGACAGGGAGGGGATAAGGGACCACTGAACCTGCCTGGTGCTCACAGGGTGCCCAAGGCCTATGTACAGGTGGAGCCGCCGGTGTTGCCCTGGCTCTGCCCTGCCCGGGGGGCTCAAACCTGCTCGGCCCCTGCCCAGCCTTGCCCGGGGGCTCACTCGGTGCCCGGGGGGTCCCAGGGTTCCACTGCCACCACTCAGTTTGTGTACACCTGAGTCCCGATCACACGCATGATCTCCTTCTGGATTTTGGGGTCCTGAGTATTGATATTGGCATCTCCCACTTGGCCATCTTCGTACCTGGAAGAGGAGAAGTGGGTGAGGGGGGGTCTGTGGGGGTCCCGCAGGTGCAGCAGGGTGGGCACGCCGGACTCACACAAAGAAGAAGCGTGTGCAGACGTGGTCCGAGACAGGGCAGACCCAGATGTTGCCGTGTTTCTGCAGGTCCTTGGAGGTGATCACTGCCGAGGCAAGAGGCTGTTGGAGGTGGGATGGGGGACACAGGGCCTGTCTGGGCACAGCCCATAGTGGGGATCCTCCATCCCTCCACCCACCTGGTGACCCCAAGGGTGCTGCCTGTCCCCCCCATTGTCCCCCCACATTTCCACACCTTCGCAAAGCGCGATGCAGTTCAGGTTGCGGCTCTGGAGGAAGCGGGACTGGATAGAGCGGGTCTGTGGGAAGAGCAGCTGGTGTTACCACCCTGTCCCAAATATCTATGGGTGCCATGTCCCCATTCCCATCCCACCCTGGTGTCCCCTGGCCCATCACCTGGGGGATTGTGTTCATCCGGTTGTACCGCTGCACCAGTTCATCCTTCGAAGGCATCCGGTGCTGCCCTTTCCCCATTCCTGTGGAGGAAGCAAGGCGAGGGCTGTCAGTCTCTCAGAAAACACCCTGGGGTGATGTGGGGACACATGCCACAGACAGGGATCGCCACCCTCAGTGCTCCTGAGCCCTGGGAACCCCCCAAAAGTGTGTGCAGCAGCTTCTGAAGCCTAGAAAATGTTGGGGGTTTGATTCTTTGGCATATGGGAAATCCCCAGCCCGGCTGGGAAGAGGCTGGTGTGATGGGATGGATATGGGATGCTGCCACTCCTGCACAGCTTCTCCAGCCAGCACGATGCCAAACCTCCCCGGCCCCATGCAGGGAGTGGGAATGGGAGCACAGGCAGGAGGACCGGGCAGCACAGGCAGGACCGGGCAGTGCAGACAGCCTCTTACCTGAGTATCCAAAGGAAATACTGGAGATGGGGCTCAGATAGATGCCCTTGCCATAGGCTGCTCCATGCAGCTTGCAGGAAAACACCAGGGTGAGCATGGTAGGATCACCCCAACAGTTTGGGCTGCAGTGGAGGAAGCCTGGCACTTCCCAATGTCTGCTCCCTCTCTGCCTTCCTGCCCACCCCCTGCCCACCTGCTGCCCGGGGGTGTGCTGGGTACAGGGAGCGGACTGGTACCTGCAGTTTGGTGTAGGAGGCGTTGACCAGCCCATTGCGGAGGATGGAATGCCAGTTCTCAATGTGAGAGCCACTGGAAAGAGCCAGTCCTACATCAGCCCCTCGTCCATCAGCCCCACGGCACCCACCCCGTGCACCTCTCTGGGCACTCACTGGAAAGCGAAGGTGCTGCCGTAGAGTTTCTTGGCCGTGCGGAACCGGGCCTCCTTGGCCGGGGGGCTGCTGAGCAGGAGGAACTGGTGGGAGGTGTGCATGAACTTCAGCTGCTACCAGGGGAACGGGAAGAGCAACGGCAGTGCCAGCAGGAGAGAGGACAGACAGACAGAGATCAAGCACGGCTGCCAGGCCCTGGATCCAGCCCAAGGTGGTTTTGGGGACTCCAAGTTTGCCAGAAGGGTCCTTTGCTTCCCTGTCTTGCTCCCATCCCACAGCCTGTGTCAAACACCCCACTTCCTATATCCCGTGTCCTGACTCCCATATCTCCCAGGCTAGAACCTCACCCAGAGGGATCCATCCCACATCCCAGACCCTTCCATTGCCCATCCCATGTCCTTACATGCCTCATCCTGCATCCCATCTCGTGTATCCTTCCACTCCATCTCCCATATTCCATACCCTCCATCCCGCACCCCACCTGGAGCCTGGCCTGGCCCCTTACCCTGCTGAGAGGCAGCTTGACAATGTGGGATCTGTTGCTGGAAATTATCCTTGGGAAGAGAAGGAGGAAGAGGAGGAGGGTCAAAAAGGTGGTCCCAACCTGCCCCGAGATCATTAGATGCCCATGACCCCCCCAGGAGAAAAGAGATGAGAGGGCTGTGCCACAGATGGCTGCCCCCCACTCCATCCCATGTCCTGGGGGCAGTGGGAGAGACAAGGGGCAGCAGGAGAGGGCCACAGCACCCTCAGCCTTACCACTGCAGGAGGGGATGTGCCAGGGGGTCCAACTTGTCCATCTGCTTCTTGATCTCCAAGTAGGACCCCTGGCAGAGGCAAGATGGGGTGTAGGTGGGTCCCCCAGCATCCACCCAGCCATGGGCAGATGGAGATCAGCAGCAAAATGCCACTCCCGCTTGGATCCCACACTGGGGAGGTCACACGGGATCCCACACCGGGGAGGTCACACGGGGCCACGGGGCTGTGGGGCCATGCCACGTACCTGAGTCATCTCCCTGATGGACATCACACTGTCCAGGGCCTTCTGCAGCCGCTCGTAGTTCTTCTTCTGCACATGGGGCAGGAGAGGAGTGGCCATCAGAGGGGTCTTTGGTGGTCCCCGTCACCTCCTGGTGTGGGGGAGCACTGTCCCCCCCAGCGCTTACCTTGGGGTTGAAGGCCAGAGTTTTGGGGTCGTTGGGGTCCACCACAGAGGGGTAAGGCTCAAAGATGATGCTCTTGCGAGGGGACTCGAGGGCAGCGCGGCACATGGCCACCAGCAGGTCCACCACCTTGGGGCAGAGCAGGGACTGAAGGGACAACTCTCCATGGGGCTGGAGGGGGTCACCACTGCGCCCAGCCCTACCTCGGCACCCGTGGCCACCTCCTCGGCCGCACCGGACATGACGCCCAGGGTGTAGAAGGAGAAGACGCAGAGCTCCCGGGTGCACACGGCCGGCTGTGGGGGGACAGCAGAGTGGTGAGTGTCAGGGATGGTGACACAGGGGCACAGCCCACATCTGACCTGGCCCTGCCACCCCACCTTCAGCATGGAGCCGTTCTGGAAGACGTGCTGCTCATCACACACCACGCAGTACTCGTTGAGCGTCGGGATCCGCTGCTCCGCGTACTTCATGATCTGAGGGGAAGGATGGAGGCAGTCAGGCCCTGCTGCGGACATGGAGCTTGGGGGATGCTCCAGGCAGTGGGATGGGCATGAGTGGGACTCTGGTCAGTGGGGAGGATGATACAGGCAGTGGAGTGTGGATAAGTGGGATGTCAGGCACTGGGGAAGATGTCCTGGGCATTGGGATGGGGTTGAGTCCGATGTGGAACAGTGAGAAAGACACTCTGGGCATCAGGATAAGGATGAGCAGGATGCAGGACTCTCACCTGCACGAGGAAGCCGTACTCCAGCGTGGGGATGTTCTTGCAGTGGCCACCAACCTGTGACAGAGCCAGAGCGGAGCCAGCTGCATTATCCCCTTTCCCACACGCAGCCCCAGCTCTGCATGGCACGGGCAGCCTCCAGCTCCCCCCGGCACAGCAGGACCCCCAACACACCAAACCCCTGGCACAGCAGGACCCCCAAAATACCAAACCCCTGGCACAGCAGGACCCCTGACATTCCAATGTGCCCTGGCACAGTGAGACCCTCCAACATGCCAACCCCCCCAAACACAGCAGGACGCCCAACATCCCAACACCCCCAACATAGCAGGACCCCCAACATCCCAACACCCCCAACACAGTGGGACCCTTGACATGCCAACACCCTTTGGCATAGTGGGACCCCCAACATGCCAAACCCCTCCTGGGACAGCTGGACCTCTGACATCCAAACACCCCCTGGCATAGCAGAACCCTTAACATGCCAACATTCCCTGGCAGAGCAGGGATGCAGCACCAGGAGTGGGGTAAAATCCCACTTGACCCCACAGCCAGGCCCCAACTCCCCAAGATCACCCAAGGATGGGGACAAGAAACCCTGCAGGGGCTCCCCCCATCCCATGGGGGGTCCCAGCAACCCACAACAAATGATCTGACCCCAGAGGAGCCCCTGGGAAGGAGAAAGAAGAGAAAAGCAAACCCCAAGGTGGGGTGGCACCCACCAGGATGTTGAAGGGGGCAACACCTGCCTGGGTGCTGGCGGGTGGGTAGCCAAAAACTTCCACCTTGGGATTCTTCACCATGCAGGACACAGAGCGGTTCATCAGGCGGTTCACACGAGGCTCAGGGATGCCCAGTTTGCCCTTCAGCACCGAATCTTGGATAACAGGGAAGCTGGGAGACCTGCAGGCACACAGTCCCCCTGAGCACCTGTTTGTCACCATCCCCTGCTCCTCCATCACCCAGTGCCAGATCCACCCAGCTTGTTGGGAGCAACCTCTGCCTGCCTGGGATCTGGTAGGGAGCAGCAGCATCCAAGTGGGGAAACTGAGGCACAGTGTCAGGCCTCACCCAGGATAAGGGGATGGAGGGCTCGTCCCCTGTGGGGACAGCATCAGGACCTTACTTGGGGATGGGTGAAAAGATGCTGAGACCAGCACGGAACTTCTTGATGGTGCCGCTTGTCTTGAACCAACTGTGCCGCTTCTCCTGCTGGGTCTTCAGGAAATCATTGCTGAGATGTTTCCATTGCTGGGATGTGAACATGCCCAGGATCCTGGCAAACAGGGGGGACAGCGCCCATGGGTGCTTGGTGGTCCACTGACACCCTGAGCCTACACACAGTTGGTGGTGAGCCCGTCACAGGATTGTGTGGTGGATAAAAGGGGGTGGCGAGGGGACATGTGGCACGTGACCAGTTTTGGGGCAGAACAGTGACTCTGTGAGCCACCCCACCCACTACCCTCATGTGCCCACCATGTTTCAGCTCTTACTTCTTCAGCTGCAGACCCAGCCCGAAGCCCTCCTTGTTGGACGGCTGGAAAACCTCGATGGACGGTTCTGTGGGGAGAGAGGAGGACGAGCCGTCGGTGCACCACTGTGCCTGTCCTGAGGGACAGGGACACCACATCCCGCCCGTCCCCACTCACCGGGGCCATCGAGGTACTGGGACAGGGAGAAGCGCAGGCGGAGGACGATGGGCTCCGTCCGCAGCACCTTCCACGCCGTCGCCACCTCCTCCTGCCAAGGCAGAAACACACTTGGGCACAGCCCCGGGAGCTCCACCCAGGCAGGCAGATTTGGAGACCCCTGTGGTGCATGTGCCCCCCCTCCCCATGCCCTTCCCAGCACTGCTGAGGGCACCCCAGGCTCTCACATCGAGGAAGCTGATGTTCACATGGAGGTCGATGTCCACGTCGTCGATGGTCCCATACTCCCTGTGAAGACACGCATTGCTGTGGCATGGGGGGGTGGCACGGTGCTGGAACAGTGGCCCAGTGCCCACCATGCCAGGGTAGGATCATGGGACAGTGACACTGGCACGTGTGGCTCCCCATGTATCAAGTGTATGCACAGGGGGAGTGCCCAGAATGTAGATGTCAACCTGGGAACGTGCCAGCACAGCCAGGTGCTCAGGGAATGGCACAGCCAGGTGTCCTAGGGGTGCCATGCTTACATGCCTTGGCCATGGCACTGCAGGAGAAGCCCAGACATGCCACAGCCAGGTGCCTTGGTAATGCCATAATCAGGTGCCCCGAGGATGGCACAGCTGGTTAGGCAGGGCTACCACTACTGGGTGCTCCCAGATGGCATCGTCAAGTGCCTGGGAATGGCATGTCCAGGTGTGCTGTGGATGGCACTGCTGGATGCCCGAGGATGGCACAGCCAGATAACCCAAGGATGGCACAGCTGGGTGTCTGGTAATGCCACAGCCAGGTGACCCAGTGATGCCACAGCTGAGTGCCCTGGACACAGCATAGCAGAGTGCCCAGGGATGGCACAGCCAGGTGTCTGGAGATGGCACAGATGAGTGCCTGGGGCTGCCACTGGATGCTCCACAAATGCCATGTCTGGGTGCCCAAGGACAGCAAGGCCAAGCGCTCAGGGGATACTGTGGCCAGTAGCCCGGGGAGGGTATGCTGAGGAATGGCTCAGCCAGGTGCCCTGGGGATGCCATGATCAGGAGCCCCAGAGATGGCACAACCAGATGCCTGGGGATGCTGCGACCAGATGTTCTGGTAATCCCACAGCCAAGTGTCCCAGAGATGGCCCAGCAGGATGCCTGGGCATGGCACAGCTGGGTACCCAGGGACAGCACAGCTGGATGCCTGGGGACACTGCAGCTATCCCGGCACAGCACAGCCACGTGCCTGGGCCTGGCACTGCCCGGTGCAGGGGCAGCAGCTGCACCCACCTGACGGCCACGGCATTCTCGCTGTAGATCTCCTTCACCGCCTCGATGTCGGCGTCCAGCTGCGGGTGCCGGTACAGGTCGGCGGCGCAGGTCCCCTGTGGCACAGCACTGTCACCCTCAGAGCCTCCCACAGCCTCCTGCAGCCCCAGGCCTGGCATCAGGCTCAGCCTGGGGCTTCCTGAGCCTCCCGTGGCACCAGGGGGCCCAGCACCCACCTGCACGCCGTAGAGGAACTCCTCGGACTCATTGTCCCCGTCGGAGTCATCGTCCGTCCAGTACTGGCCCTTGAGGTCCTGGGGATGGAGGGTTGGGAGGCAGCAGGGATGGGGGAGACGGTTGGGAAGTGGATTAGGGGAGCACATTAACAGGGAGGGAATTAGGGGGCAGCAAACTGGGGGAGCTGGTTCTGGGGAGAGGGTTGGGAAGTGGATTGGGGGAGCACATTAACAGGGAGGGAATTAGGGGGCAGCAGAGCTGGTTCTGTGGAGAGGGTTGAGGGCAGTGGATTGAGGGAACGATTTGGGGAAGCAGTTTGGGGGGAGCAGCAAGATAGGGAGAAAAACGGGGGTTGGGGGGAGTGTTTGGGGACAGCAGAATGGGGATGTGAAATGTGGGCAGTGGGATGAGAGGAGTAGGATGGGAGGAATAATTTGGGGCACAGTGGGATGGAGGAGCAGGCTGGGAGAGGGAGGATGGAGGGAGCAGATTAGAGGGGAGCAAGATGGAGACAGCAGGATGGACCAGCAGGATGGTGACACTGGAATGGGGGAACAGGATGAGAACAGGATAGGGGAGCAAGATGGGATCAGAGGGATGCAGAACCAGTGTGGGAGAGCAGGATGGGACAGCAGGATTGGGAAGCAGGATCAGCAGGATGGAGGACCAGGATGTGAACAGCGGCATGGAAGACCAGGATGGAGGACCAGGACAGGGACTGCGCATGGAGCTGCCGGGGGATGTGCCCGGCCGATCGCGACGCGGGGCTCCCTCCTCCTGCCGCGGCCCCATCCGCGCCCCGAGCCGGGGGACCCCGGGACGCGGGGGGACACCGAGGGCCGCTGCCCCTCCCGAGCCCCGAGCCCCCGCGGGCCCGTCCCGCCCCGCCGGCGGGCTCGCTCCCCCCGCGGCCGTGTCCCCGTGTCCCCGTGTCCCCTCCCGCGTCCCGGCCCCTCACCATGTCAGCGCGGGCCGGCCGCGGGCACGGCCGCCATGCTGCCGGGGGGCCGCGTGACGTCACAGCCGCCGCACGCGTCACCGGCGGCGCCGCCATGACGTCACCGCCGGGGACCCCCCCCCCGGGCCCCCTCAGCGCCATGGCGGCGCACGGAGTCGCGGGGCCGCAGCGCCCCAGAACCCCCGTGCCGGGTGTTCCTGGGCAGCACAGGGACATGCGGAGTCCCGTGGGGTGCCCCGTGGCGTGGCCATGGCGGGTCTCCCTCACAGTGACCCCCTGGTCCAACACAGACCCCGTGTCCCCAGCGCACGGTGACCATTTTGGGTGCCCTCCCTGACTGCCACAGCGTTCCCGCAGCGCAGCCAGAGTCCCAGTGTCACCAGTACAGAGTCCACAGTATCCCCAGCACAGAGTCCCCAACGTGCCCGGCCCAGTGTCTCCAATGTCCCCAGTACAGTCCCCAACGTGCCCAGCCCAGTGTCCCCAGTAGAGTCCCCAACGTGCCCAGCCCAGTGTCCCCAATGTCCCCAGTACAGAGTCCCCAATGTCCCCACTACAGAGTCCCCAACATGCCCAGCCCAGTGTCCCCAGTGTCCTCAGTACAGATTCCCCAACATGCCCAGCCCAGTGTCCCCAGTGTCCTCAGTACAGAGTCCCCAACGTGCCCAGCCCAGTGTCCCCAGTGTCCCCAGTACAGAGTCCCCAATGTCCCCAGTACAGGGCTCCCAGCCCCCCATCACAGTGACCATTTTGGGTCCCCTCCATGGACCACAGGCTCCCCAGAGTGCCCGCTACAGAACCCCTCTGCGGTCCCAGCACACAGTGACCATTTGGGTTCCCAGATGGCCGTCACAGCGTCCCTACAGTCCACACAGGGTCTGTGTGGCAGGTCCTTGTGTTATGGCATGTCCCCAGTGTCACCACAGTGCCAGTGTGGAGCCACTGCCATGAGTCACAGGCAAAAGGTCCCCACGGTTCTGGGATGATGTCCCCAGTATCTCCAGCACAGGGTCCCCAGTACTACCAAGCAAAGGCCTTCATGGATCTGGCATTCAGTGTCCATGTTGTGTCCCACAGCTGGGACAGTGTCCCCTGTGGCCCCAGTATCTCCAGCCTGATCTTGCTTGACCCCAGCACAGTGTCCTCAGCACCCCCAGCACTGATACCTTAGGTTTTAAGTTTTTCTGTTCTGTTCTGTGTTGGTGTGCAGCTTTTAGCTTTATATTGAGTGTTACTGGGATCTTTTCCCAGGGTGGTGAAGACAAAACAATCCTGTTCTAGCTGGAGACTCAAGGACAATCTCTTCAAACTTCAGGCCCAAAGCATAAACAACATGAGTGGGCAAGCAAGCAGGCAAGGAGGATCAAACTTCATAATTTGAAGCTAGTAACTGGACAGTTAAATCCTATACGCAAAAAGACTAAAACCTATAAAAATGCCAGATTTTGTGACCAAGCCCTCTTTTCCTTCCATGTTGGAGCCATCTGGGCAGAGCCACGACTGTGGCTCTGCTACTGCCAGGGTGTGGCCTTTGAAGACACTTCAATAAAAACCCACTTTATTCTTCCTAACACCATCTAGCCTCAGTTCCAGCTGTTTAAGGCATCAGCACCATGTCACCAACATCTCCAGCCTCGTGCCCTCAGTACTGTGTCCTGTAGCCCCACTGCAGGGATTCCACACTGGTCCCCAGTGTCCCCATAGGAAGGTCTCAGGACCCTCCAAAGCACCCCAAAACACCCAGAGCCGCTGTCCCTCCAGAGTGAGGGACCCCTGAGGTGTGACCTGGAGGCTGGGTGTGAGCTGGGGCCGCGGTCCCTTTAAGAGCATCGCGCCGGGCCGCGGTCCCTTTAAGGCGACGGCCACTCTCCGTCCTCGCGCGCGGCGGCTGCGTCGCCTCCTCATTGGCCGGCCGAGCGCGTGCTGTGACTCAGCGCCTCCCCCCGCGCTTTGTGCGTCCGCTGCTGAAAGTAGCCCCGGCGCCACGCCCTTGCGGCCCCCGGCAGGGCGGGCGGCGGAGGGATCCGAGGGGGGCGGTGCTGCGGCCAGCAGGGATCACCTTGGCGGGGCGTGAGAGCGGCGTGCAGAGCGGCGGCGGCGCTCGGGGGCAGAGGACGCGGCAGCGGCGTGACTGAACGGCGGCAGGTAACGGCGTCCTGAGGGGCTGCAAGCGGTGGGGCCGGCCGCGCCGGTACCGCGCTTATTCCCGTGTTTCCGCCGCTGGGAGAGGGTCCCCCCGGGCGGCCGCTGAGGGGAGGGGGCGCGCGCCCTACGGGACGGTTGAGGAGGGGGCTCGCGGTGCCGAGCACGTGGCTGCCGGCAGCCCCGGCCCCGCGTCCCCTCCTCTGCCTCCCCGGGCATCCCCCGAGATCCCGCACCGGGGAACGCCCTTTCCGAGCATCCCCCCGCGACCCAGCGCTGGGGAGCGCCCGCTCCGAGCATCCCTTCCGATCCCACGCCGAGGAACGCCGGCTCCAAAGCATCTCCCCACGGCCCACCCCGGGAATCGGCCGCTCCGGGAGCGGGGTGGCGGCGGGGGTACGGTTTGGGGTACTAGGGGCCGGGTGAATGAGGTGGGGCACGCAGGAGCGTGTGCCCCGCGTGTGCCCGGCGGCCGTGCCGTTAAACGGAGCGCGGGGCGCCGCTGCGGCTGCCGCCCGGTGCGGGCAGTGCCGGAGGAGCCGCTGGGAGGCTGAGTCAGAGCAGACGGAGTGAGGCGCTGGGCCGCCTCCCCCACCCCGCCTGCTCTCACGTACGAGCCGGCAGTTCCCCAAAGGGCATCGGCTTAAATCACCGTCCGGCTCACTGCACCCGCCAGCGATGCTGCAGCCTGTCCCCGGCCCCCCCGGGAAGAGAAGGCCCTTCCTGAATTAATCTTCTCCCGTAGTTGTGCCTGCTTAAGCACGTCCAACTGATTTGGGCAGTTTCTTGAACTGTGAAAACCTTTCAAACGTATTTAAACCCCCTTTGCAGAGCTACCAAGGCATGAATAGCGCTTTTGTCGGCGGACAATGGCAACCTCCCGACTGTCTCCTCAGACTACTAAAAGTAGACGGCAGTATCTAAAAACCTGCTTTTGTTCTGATAAGGCAACTCGGTATCAGAGAGGCCCAGGTTAACAAAAAAAAAAATCAGTGTTTCATGAAGGGTTTTGTCATGTTAGATTGTTAATTTTCCTGCTGCTCATGGCTTGCCTTGGCTCGAAGGTGCAGTGACAAATTTTTGGTTACTCAGACACATCCAGGAACTTGTGCAATTAGAAGTGCTTAATTAAAAAAAAACCAAACCCTCTGAAGAGTGTAATTTTATGCCCAAGATCCCGTTTATAGAGAAGAATTCTGGCTAATATAAAAGGAGGTCGATGGGTTAATGGTCCGTACTGGTGCCAGCAGGTTTCCAGCCCATCACCGGATTAAGCAAAAGGTTTTTGTGCGAGGCAGGAAATACTGCTGCGAGCCACGTGCTTGAACCGGGGACTTCTGCCTGTAAAACTCGTCTGAGAAACTTCACTTGCACTAGATAAAGAGAATGGAAAGGCTGCAGCAGCCTGCGGTTTTTTTTTTTTTTTTTTTTTTTAATTACCTAGTGTTTTATCTATCTAAAGCTGTTATTAAAACTTTCATTTATTGCTGTTAGCCTGAGTGATCCACCGCCGGCCTTAACTCCCTTTCCACCCAACAAGTTGATAATTTAATTTGATGGGAGTAAGACGTTTCCCAGGCCGGCTGGACACGTGCCTGTCCTTTATCTCTGGTCTGGCCGTTGTTCTCCCGGGGGAAGCTGGAGCCGCAGCGGGTGGTGATGGATGGCACGTAGGAAATGGGGCTGCAGTACAGGGCGCTGCCACGTGCAGCAATCTCCATCCTGGAGTGGGGATGCAGCGCTTCTACCTAGATAAATGTGAAAAGAAAACCCCAAAGCTTGCTTTTATCTTGTAAAGCAGGTTTTTACAGCTTGTCTGAAGGCAGCCAGGTGCTTTTTGCTAAGCTGAAAGGCTCCTTGTCCTCTGCAAGGTTAAGCCTGTAGGTGTGTCCTACAAATACCCTCGAGATAAGTCCTTCTCCTCACCAAACATCCGATGCTTGCCACCTCGTCTTATTTTTCTAGTTAAGCCTTCCAGGGAGGGCAGCTCAGCACGGCAGAGCCAGTCGTGACACGGGAAGGTGCCAGACCAGCCTGATCTTCCTGTTCCTCATTGCCAAAAAGCTGGAGGGGCATCTCCGTTGTGGGTCTCTCCTCCCGTGGGTCCGCAGCTCAGTGCTGGAGAGAGTGTCGGCTAGCCAGGAGCAGGTGGTGGCTCCTGGGTTCCATCCAGGATTGCAGAAAAGGGGTGGAATTTTGGGGTGGCCATTTTGTCCTTACGTAACGGCGAGACACCACCTCCAGCACCAGCTGCCTGGCAGGAATGTGCTGTTCTCCGTCCCTGGGAGAGGGGATGTCAGGCCAGGGTAAAAATCTGCTTTTCTGCAGAGCTGCATTTCTCTGTTGTTGAATGCCTTTAGCTTCTGGAATGAGTAAAGCTGATGTTTTTCTAGACTTCTTTTGGGAATCTGAAGGCCTGCCTGATTTCATAACCCTGCCCTGAGCACTAACTCAAACCGTTTCTGCCTGCAGGCAGGGTGACTGGGCACGAGCAGCCTTGTTCTGCAGCATCCATGAGGTTGTGTAAGTGAGGCTGACCAGTAAATCCCGAGTCATCACCCCCTGGGAGCCTCCTCGCTGGAGTTCCTGCAGGCAGTGACACAGCTCTGGCTGTGGCCTGGGGACAGCCCTTGCTGCAGTTTCTACTTCACTTTGTCACCAATAACAGCAAAGACTTGGGCATGGGTGGGGATTGCTGCTCCCTCTCCTTTCTCCATCCCCGAGGGGCATATCCAGAGAGACCGTGATTTTAGGCTTTCTCTCATCTGACCCATGGGATAAGCTGGCTGGAATTACTCACCTGGCTGCAGTAAAACCCAGTCCTGACCTCAGATGGCTCAGTCTGAAATATTCAGGAGCTGAGGAGATACCAGACAGCATTGGGACACCCTGCCTGAAGCTTGGGCAGGCCAAGTAATAAATTCGGGGACTTAATCGTTATTCCTTGAGGAATGAATTCAGGTTTATTCAGTGCTGGAAACATTCAGGCATTAGAGGGTATTTCCTCAATCTGC